AAAAATAAAATAATAAATAAGAAAAAAATTTTTTCTCAGCCAAATACTTTTAGTATTAATTAGAAAAGTTTCTAATTCGTAGGTTAATTCCTCAAGATCTAATTCATAAGCAGTTAACATTAAGTCAAAAATAAATTTGGTTTCTACATTTTCTAAATTAACAATTCCTCCATAAATATATCTACATAAAATAAATAATAATTAAAAAAATTATTAATAAAATAATAATAATAATAACAATTAATGGTGTTTTAATTATTGATAACAACTTACTTGAGAATAGCATCCAAAATTTGAGCAGATACACCTGACTTATCAATGGTCTTGATATTATTTTCATTTGGTTGAATATTTTCTAACTCTTTACAGAAATAAGTCGATCGAAATTTCAATACGTTAGAATGTGCCGTAAATGATTTTTCTTTATTTTCAACTTCAATAATTACATTATAATCATCTTTGTCACTAAGAAGTTCAATAAAATTTTTAGACAACTTGTCGAAAAATTTTAATTCCATTTATCTTTTTTGAAAATTATTGAGTCGGGAAATATTAATTTATGCGGTCTTTATATGCCTGATATTTCACTAATACGGATTCGAACTACTATTTTTAGTATAATGTGCCAAAGAAAATGTCTTTTTAACTTAGAAGCTTAAGAGTTTCTAATTTTAGTTAATTCCGTTCCTCTAAATTTCATATGGTATGTTACACCAACTTTGCTTCTAATAAATATATAGACAATATCTTCGGCCACTAGCTAAAGTCCTTTCTTACCAATAATAAAATTAAGGAGGAAGAAAGGAAATGAGTCAATGAATTTTTAGGTGTAACAGATATGTCTGATTTGATATTAAACTTTATTTAATCAGTAAAATATTTTTTAAAATAGACATAAATATATGCAACCCTTTGAGTTAAACACTTTTTTTTAGAGGTTGAAAGCTAAAATATTGATATTTTAGATTCTTTTTCGGAATATATATTGTCTTCATTTTCCGGAGAATCGAGAATAATTGAGCGGAAATATTTTTTAATTAATTATCCGCAATTTACGTAATTAGCTAGATTTTTTTAAATTTTAAAAATAATAATATTATATATATATATATATGCTTAATAGCTCTCTCTCTGACTCCGTTGGTAAAAATATATATATGCTTAATAGTGACGCAGTAAGTTCCAACCAATTAATTAATATATATATATATAATTTTCAATTTATTAGATTTGTTATCATATTTTAAGTTTAAATTTCTAATATTTTGTAATTATTATTATTATTGCAATATAATTTTGAGCTTTTTAGCTTATATTTTTATTAATACAAATTTTGTGACGCAATAAAGCATATTTTTTATATAATTAAAGTGCTTCAATAATTTTACGTGATTTTATATTTAAATTAATTCAATAAATTAAATCTTAGAATTTTCATGGAAAAAATTATTAATTTTTTGAATTAAAATTAAAAAAGTTTTTTACAAAAAATTTTTGACTGACGGAATCTCAATTAAGAAATTATTTCTATTTGGTGGATTCTTTAATACAAAAACCTGAATGGCGCTTCAATGCGGTAAACGTTCCTTCTCATTTTCCACCTTTTGTTATTACATCATTGCAAGCAATTCAATAATAATAAATTTATCGCATTTGATAAAATAAGAATTTATATTTTATGCTATAGTTGGCATGAAAGCACGATTTGTTTTATAAAATTTTTATTAAAACAAGAAATTTAGAAAAATATCCCAATTGCAGTCATAAATATTTAAATTTGAAAATTTTATTACAAGCTTTTAACGGCATCAAAAAAAAAAAATACCAAATAATTACTCATTATGAACGAAATCATAATACTATTAAGTATACCGTCAGTCTAATTGATCAAGAATTTTTCTAAAAAAAAAAGCTCGACGTAGTTATACGTACAGTGGGGTATCAAAGTCACCGGGAAACTGAAAATTATTGAGGTGCATTTTTTTATTCTGTTAAAAAGTTTCGGTAAGTTGTAATTAATTTTAATGATAAGAATGATAAGAACAAAATTATTTATTACAAAAAAAAATTCACCTTCGATCTGTGAACCATCTTCTAAATCATATTTTTTTCCTCTCATTAAACTTGCTTGGCACATTTAAAGTATTTAGATTGCAGGTAGATCAAATATTCACAGAGAAAATTAACATATATGGTTCATCAACAATCATCACAAAAAAACAAATATATTTTCGCAATAAATAAAATAAATAAATTCCAATTATTACTCGGTATAGTGAAGAAAAGAGTAATTCGGATTTCATTTTTGCAAAAAAATTCACGCTGACAATATTCCAATCCAGTGTCAAAACCATTAGATACAAATCATACTTTGCTTCACTCGATCTAATGTTCTATGTCTTATTCATAATAAAATTGTCAAATAGGTAGTGATGGTGATTCACGTTTATGAATGGGTTGTAACTCCTTGTAATTCTGATCCTTTATATTTTGGTTTCCAAAGTAAATAATTTATTATGTACGCAATAAATTGGTTCATAATAAATAGTAATAATAAAAATAAATAATAATTATAAAAATAATTAATAACAATAATAATTAATGATAATAGAAAAATAAATGATAATAATAAAACAAATGATAATAATAAAAATAAATAATAATAAATAATAATAATAAAATAAATTATAATAATAAAATAAAAATAAATAATAATAATAAAAATAAATAATAATAATAAATAATAATAGTAAAAATAAATAATAATAACAATAAATAATAATTCATTCCAAAAAAGAAACAATTTTTTTCGCGTGATTAAATGCCGGCGCGTTATTTTTTAAATGACGATAGAGATATTACCATAATGAATTTTGTATGACTCAAATATATAAATATACCGAAGTTCGAAGAAATTACATTAATCTTAATCTGTATGAATATTATTGTAATTTACTATTCTGGATTAGCATTTTGCGTATTTTGTGTAATAAGAATATAAAATGTTCATTAATAAATGCGATTTTTTTGCTTACAAAAAACAACTTGCAATTTTAAACGTAATATATATTTTTTTTTTTCTTCAAAAAATAAAATAAATTTTTACCTTACCAAACGCAAGCAAAAAAATGTCCCGTGATATATGCCCGGAATGCAATCAAAAATACAGATATCGGTGGTGCAAACCATGCAATTCGAAACGTTTCCAAAATAATTTTAATAATTGGACAAGTGGAAATGATAAAATCGATAAATTCATTCAAAATGCCCAGCTAAATACTAATGCTTATTAGGAAGTAATAGAATGGACACCTTATAATAAATTTAAAGATGTTAAACAAATAGGTAGAGGTGGATTTGGAACAATGCATTATACTAGGTGGATTGACGGACCAATTTATGAAGATACTAAAAATCAACAATGGGAAAGATATCAAGATAAAGAAGTGGCATTAAAAAAGTTTGATAATTTTGTGAATTTAGACGATATCTTAAATGAGGTAAATATTTTAATTAATATTTAATTTTAATTTTCAAATAATTTTGTAAAATTTTAACTATAAATTAAAAATGCTTATATTGTAGATGGTAATTCACTTAAAAACACGGACTGAAGGAGCTTCAATTCTATTTTATGGAATTACTCAAGACCCAGAAACGCACTCACATTATGATGGTTTTAGAATATGCAAAAGATGGAAATCTTCGAGAATATTTAAAAATTAATTTTAATAATATTAATTTGAAACAAAAAATCCATGGAGATTATTGTCAAAGTTAAAGAATATTCATAAATTAGATATAATTCACCAAGACTTCCATCCTGGAAATATTTTATCTTCCGATTTTATATCTTCTTTAAAGATTTCAGATTTTGGATTAAGTAATCTAATAGGTGCAAATCCAAATAATCCCGAAAAAAAGAATATATTTGGTGTATTACCATATGTTGCTCCAGAGGTATTAAGCGATGGTGAAGAATATATAAAAAAGCTGCTCATTTGGAATTATCGTTTACGAAATATTTACTGGCTTTTCTCCATATCCTGATATACCACATGATAAAGATTTAGCTATGAAAATATGCAATGGATTACGACCAAAAATTCCATTTCATACTCCAAAATTAATTACAAGAACAATTATGAGATGTTGGGATGCTCGAGTTACACATAGACCCACTTTTGAAGAATTAAAAACCGAGTTGTTGAAATACGATTTGGATTATATTGGGAAAAATAAGGATTCAGAAATTGTAATTCAAATTAAAAAAGCTGAAGAATTTTCAGCAAATCAAAAATCAACCAATACAACAAAAACTACTGCTACAACTCCTCTTAATTATAAAACACATCCACTCGCAATTTATACCAGTCGACTTCTTAATTATTCAAATCTTCCAAAACCCAAAAATGAAGAAAATTTCGAAAGGGAACTTGAAGAATTGACTAAATCTATGTCTGATTTATGTCCCGGTAAGTATTTCTATATTTTGCCTATTTATTTATATATTATATTATTTTTATATTAATTTATTTTCTATGATATTTAGGCGATTCTGGAATAATTGATTTGGATATATCTAATTTTTAAATTTTATTTGACATTATATTATTTTTTTTTTTTTGTATTTATTTATCAAACTATAAAGCATTATTTATTAAATTTTTTGATATTATAACTTCTTAACACTAGGCATTGAGTATGAATTCTTCACAAATTCAATTAGCTTAGTTTGTAATTTCGATTTTATAAAAATAGGAAAGTAATAATAAAGGAAATATAAATTTATCTAATATTTCAAGTCGATGTAACAGTATTGATGCATTCGTTTTTAATTTAAATATTATTATAATTATAACGTGACATGTACAAAAAAATATTAAAGATTTAATTTATACATTTGTATTTACGGTAACTTTAAATCACACCAGTGGTGTTGTACACCACATCATACAATCACATGATACATCATATACATTATATCACGGGTTTAGTTAATGAATATAATTGGTAAATCGTTTTGTATTAATTAATTAAAAAAATAAACAGACGCGCCACAAAACGTCTTACATAACCATACTCGCCATGTATAACACACCATTTTTTTCCCACGTTTCTTTTTCCCAGGCTTCCTCTTCTACTTTGCTGCCAAAATTTGTAATAGTGATAATTATTCTGAAGTGTCATCATTTGACCAAAATAATGTTAATGACCTCAACTTAACTGAAAATCTAGATGATATTCCCTTTAATGAGCTTAATGATGGACTACTTTACCCGGTAACAACAGAGATGGCTTTTGATAATTGGATAAATTTTGATGAGTATGTAGTGCCGGAGGTGTTATTACTGTAAAAAAAAAAAAAAAATTTTAACTTGATTTCAATTTAGATGGCTTAAAAACTATGGGTTAGAGCAAGGTTTTGCTTTTACGATAACTCATAGTGAGAAAGATAAAAATGATGGGATACCCCGGTGGCATATTTACGCATGCACCAAAGGTAGAAAATATGTTGCAAGAAAAGAAGCACACACCAAAGATAGTCATAATTCAGCCCATAATTCTGGTAACTGTCAATTTCGTATTAACGCCTACTGTCAGAAAAATGACAATATGGTTTATATAACGAAGGTTGAAAGTCAGCACAACCATAAACTTGTTGATAACATCGCTATTCTTGTGCCCAGTTATCGAAAGTTCACTCCTGAAATGCAGGATAATGTAAGGTTACTTACAATATGTGGTGTGCGATCTGGTGCAATTTTGAAGTGTTACAACACAAAAATCTGGGAATATATATCCATGATCGTGACGTATATAACTTAATTAATCTATTTCGCCGTGAAAAAAATCAAGTTAAAAGTGACACTGGTTCAGTATATCTTAGTCTCATGAAACAACAGAATGAAAATCTCTCTTTCCACGTTGATGCACAGTTTGAAGGACAAGACAATCGTCTCGTATGACTCTGCTGGATCATTCCAGCCAACAGGAATTATGGGCCCGTTTCCATGATATTGTTCTCCTTGATACAACCGCAAAAACCAACCATTATTCAATGATTCTGTGTGTCGTAATTCTAGTTGACAATCACAATCGCTCCGGCCTCGCAGCAACGGCCGTTTTGTCAGATGAGACCAAAGAAAGCTTTGCATGGGTTTTTCGAAGTATACTTGACGCAACAGGTGAACTAAAACTACACCTACTTTATACAGACATAGATCTCACAATGATTGCTGCGGTAAACGATTCTTGACCAACGACAAAGCATTATTTTGCCTTTTCCATATTCGAAAGAATTTAGAAAAACATTTTTTGGGCAAATTTCGTGGTGAAAAGTGGGCAAAATTTTTTTCAGCTTTTTGTTATGCTTGAAATAGTCGTGTAGAATCTATCTTTGAGGAGAGGTGGGCCGAATTGATAACCGAATATACTGATGTTGCAAATTACTTGTAGCGTTATCTTTATCAATGTCGAGAGGCTTGGGTACTGTGTTTCACGCACCGTGCATTCAATGGTGGAATACAAAACACGCAGTGTATTGAATCATATAACAGCATTATAAAATATCATGTTAACAGATCTTCATCTCTTATAGAGCTCGAATTCATAATCGAAAAGTTACTGCTGAGGGAAAGCCAGTTTATTCATTTGAATGAAACTATTGGTTAGCTTCCTACAAGCCAAGATCAGAATTATCACAATTGTTATTTAAAAAAGTGGATATTTCATGTCAACAGTATTTGACTTCAGCAATTCTTAAACTGCAAAGCCACGAGATGAATCGTAGCATGCACTATCGATGCCAGAGAGCTATTTTGGAGGACGAACTTGAGAAACGGGTATGGTTTGAGTTTATTTATTTATTTATTTTTTTATAGATAACTTTTATTAACTCTTTCTCCTTATTGTAGATTATTTTGAATTTACCAGATGGCATGTTTACTGAAGATATGTTTGACATTTGTTTGGTGAAACTTGAACAGCTGATTGAGGATCTCGATCTGACAAGAATCTGTGAATTATAGCACGTTTCTTCCATTAGTAAAAAGAGCGAGCATTTTGTAATATTGTATAACAATGCTGCTCATATTTGCACATGCCTAACAATAATTAATCGTGGACTTGAGTGCTGTCATTTTTTTGCGATTATGCTTATTTCATCGATCGCAAAATTTCATATTCGACTTGTACCATAACGCTGGTATACGGATTCGTTAGTCATGGCAGAAGAGCCAAGTTTTCTCCATGATCCAACAAGTTCAGTGACTTTAGGTGAGGAACTTGGTGCAGTGAAGCATTTTACTGAAGTTACAGAAGTCAACTTTTCACACTTAAAAGCTATCTGGAACAATTACGTTTTTACAAAAGAAGTATGTGGAGAGATATCTGCGAAGCAACAATACGGAAAGAGATTCGGTATTATGAAGAAAACGTTAAATCTGGATATTGCTACGGGTAGATCAGAGGAGCTCTATAAAGTTCATTTGAATTTTATTGAGGAAATAGAGACTGAAATCATCGGTCAAGCTGTAAATGAAAATATTACCGAATTTGCGTCTACTATTAGCAACCCCATCATTACCAGAAAAAAAGGCCAGAAGTCCAAAGATTTCCATATCATTGTAAGTCGCAAGGAAAAAAAAAAGAGGTTTCTGATGAGAACACCGATAAGAATGATTATGATGATGTAGATCGTGAGGAGACCCCCGAACTCGAAAGTCATGTGGAATTATTACATAAAAGGCTTTAAAAAATATTACACGACGTAACAAATAATTTGACAAATAAGAGGATATGTGGTATCTGTAGTGAGATAGGTCATAATGCGCGAACATGTTCGCAAAGGAATTACCACTAGTTAACTTTGGAACTGGTGATAAGAGAGAAAAAACTTAAGTTTACTATTTTTCAAAGAGAAACTGAAAAAAACTCTGGATTTATATAACAAATAAAGGTAATATATTAATGTTTATAATATATGATACAATATTACATGTATATAAATAGTTTATAAAGTATATTTTATTAATAAAAATAAATCATATGCCTTATTTTTATTGGCTGAAACAAATCATATTTTACTAATAAAAAATAAATCATATACTTTATTTTTATTGTTCCAAACAAATCATGTGTCACTGGTGTTGAACACCACTGGTGTGATTTAACAATGCCATATATTTAAATCTTTAAAATATTGAATCTGACATTTTTCAATAAAAATATAAAGAAATTAAAAAAAAAGAGATGATATAATCAGTTAAAACTATCATTCAAAACTATTTTTTGTAGTAGTTGTAATTCATGATTCCTCTATTTTTTCAATTATTCATTTATTCTTTGATAACTTTTTTGTCTTTTATTAAAAGTCCAATTCTATCATATAAAATAAAAATACAAAAATATAAAACATCACTCATTGTTTGCTTTGTAATAAATGTAGAAAGGTTTAAAATTTTGCTATATATAAAAAAAGAATCATAAAATCTCATGAAAACATGAATTATATTTGTATAAGAAATTCATTTAAGAAATATTGAATTTCTAAGAAAAAGGAAAAGAAAAACTATTAAAACTTATTATAACAAATAATATATCTTATTATAAGTGTCACTTTTTCTTTGTGAAAATATTCACCATCTTTAAAAGATTATAGGCATTATTGCAATGTAGTTTTTAAAACAAAAAAAATTATCCTTGGTCCATTTTTCAAGATTTGTAGGAAAAGTTAGATTCTGAACAATGTAATCATCTGAATCATTATAAAGTTTCGAGATAATTTCAATGTCACTTTTTATTTTTATTATTATTAAAAGTCAAAAAAAAAGATAGATTAAATTCGTATCAAATCACATGTAACATAAGATCGTTAAGACTCATTTCTCATCTCGTTAAGTTACGATGCAATTTTATTTTTATCTTTAATCGTTAATTATAATTTTATACTTTTAGAGAATAACTTGACTTAAATTTGAAAGTCATTTAACACGAACAAATAAACTTAAAATTTTTTTAAGTGCATCTTAAATTATTCATTAAAATCAAATTAAAATTGTTAAGTGTTAATTTAATTATTTAATTAGATTCGGTTATATTTAAAAAAATTTTTATGATTCATTCTTCCTTTACAAAAAAAAACAAAATCATCATCAAAAAAAATAAATAAATACTCATAAAAAAATTATAAATTCAAGTTATTACTTTTGCAAAAAATGAAATCTGCAATTAATCTTTATTCACTTTATCAAACAATTCACGTTGATGATGTTCCAATCCAAAGGTTGAAACCATCAAATACAAAATTATACTTTGCTTTCCTTGATCCAGATACTACATGTCTCACTAATAATCAAATTGTCTATTGTTACAGAATGAAAATATAATGATAAAATAATATTAAAAACACCTGCAATAATTTATAATAACCCTTAAAATAATA